TATATTCTAGCAATTTAAAATATCAAAATACAATTAATATAAATTTACATCAATTCACTGTATCTATAACTAATTTCAACTAAAAATCAATTTACTAAACATCAATTGCTACTAAAATTTTGTTTAAATCATTCTTAATTGATGACTCTCCTTACTTGTAAACAAATAATAATTATAAAAAGTCAAGTAATAAAAAAAAACATACACATGTAAAATATTATAAAACAATTGTAAAGTTTAATTAAAGAGTAAAAAACACATTTCTAAATTAAAGTTTACAGTAAAAATGACAATTTACAGTACACAGATTCTCAAAATCTGCTGAAAAGCAAATGGGAAGAAAATTTGCGATACTAAGTTAAAACTTGAATGGAGATTTTCAATAATGTATTTTTAAAATAAGACAAACAAAATTATGGTTGAAGATAGAAATTTTAATTTAATTTTTTATAAACTCAACAAAATGAAAGTAATTAGTGAGAGTCCCGATTGTCACGCTCAATCAATAAATTTGATGACACCTTTCTTTCTCCATGTTTGACTCCCTTATTTCTTTGCCACATAAGTCCTTCTTTTTCCTATTTATTGCCAAGTGTTCAACTAATTCATTAGTTAATTTTTCTTTTTTTTTAATTTTTTGTTTAATAGACCCAAAAGCATTGAGTCTGGCATCGTTGATTTATTGTTATTAAAGGTGAGATAAAATTATTGGTTGTGTCTGCATGAGTTGTCGCTAATGCTTTTAACTTTATTGTTGAAATATGTCACAGTGGTCCTCCCTTTCATTATGAGAGTATTCAGACTCGGTTTAACCTAATTGGACCTCACTATTTTCAGTTTTTTTTCTTTATGTATATACTATACTTATATAAATTGTATTTTTTTAATTAAATTGTATAAATTAAACTAATGAAATCCAGTATAATTATATTTAATATTTTTTAAAATAAATTTATTTTTTGAAGCCTTTGTTTTCAACTCCATCTATTAAAAAAAATCTAAATTGCAAACCAACTCATCTGAACTAGTTTTAACTGCTGTATTGGTATAAACTTAATTATGTGAAAATGTTATACATGATTTGAAATAGATGAAAATAAACAAAACGTATTTTTAAAAACAAAATATTAATTATGAAAAGAATCAAAAGTTTTGCACCCGTGATCTTGGTTTTCTGTGTGCCGCACACAGGTCTTAATCTGTGCATGCTGTACACAGTTTTTCATTTTGTTACATTATATTGTTGATTTCTCTTACAATTAATATCCTGACACACAAGGTGGTCCTTTTATTTATTCCTTTCTGAAATGGTTTCTTGTATTTATTTAGCATAATAAAATTTTGCACACAGAACAATGTTATTGGGCTCCACAAATTTGTTTCTTAAAAAAAAAATTCAAATAATAATTCTGAATTCTCTTGTCTATTGTTCTCCAGGTGTCCAAAAAGTAGGAAAGTAAAATTTTACCGTTATAATTTAGAATATTTTCTTATATGTTAATTTGATTTAAGAATAGTTTAAGAAAGCTAAATTAGGAGAATTATCTTTGTAAACTCTTTGACTATCAAGTATTGAGAGTAAGACAAGTAGTGAACATGATATAATTAAAAAAAGTAATACATTAATAATTTATAATATGATAATAAATTATAATCGAATAACTTTTAAATGAGTTCACTGAAAAAGTACTTTGAGATATATGTTGACGGCACCATACTACATAGACCACACTTATTTTAGGACTTATGTAGTCATGAAATCATATTCTATTATCCTTTTATAATCATTTTTAAAATTTGTCTTATTTTAATTTATATGTTCCTAACTAAGCAACTATTGTACACAGATATGACTAACACTCCAACCAATGTATGGTTCATGCAACAACTTAATCTCAACGTCAAAAACTAAATTTGTACATATAATAAACTAATTATAGAAAAATTATACTAAACAAAATATTCTAACAACAAATAATCCAAATAACACATAATAATTCAAACAATAATAAAAAATCTTGTTATATACAAATTTTTTAAAAACATGAAAGTAGGTGAAGGAAGAATGTAAACTTTGAAATATTCTTGAAAGTATTCTTGAAGGAGAATGTGAATAACATCAATATGGATAGAAACACAGATACATACAAAGGTAGCAAACACATGGGTAGTCATTATGGTGCAAATAGCCAAACATAAACACGAATGTAAGGCTTATGGTCAGTAAGAAGAGAAAAACAAATGAAAGAGAAAGAAAATGAAAAGAAAAAAGAAACAAACCTGAACAAAAACAATGGAAATGATACCCAGCTAAAGAAAGAAGAAGGAAGAAGAGAAGAAAAACTCCTCTTTCGTTAAAAAGGAAGAAAAGTTTGTCTTTTTATAATGATGATAAAACTTTTGCGTGCATAATAAAAATGAAAAAGTTAAAACTATTTAGAATGATATAAACTATAATTTCAGCTTAACCATAATTTTTTTATCAATAGTTTCAAAAATATAATTGTTTTAATATAAGTTATGTTTTTTTAATAATCATAGTTTATCTAGTAATTTCATAGTGAATTGAATATAAACTGTAATTGTTTTTTATTTAGTATCATACATTTTGTTAAATATTATCTTAAAAATAGAAAGAATCAAAGTCTTATTCAATCATCAACAATAAGTAATGTTAGTGAATAAATGTTTTTATCCTCAAACGGTGTAACTGTTGTTAACAAAATTGTAGGTATTTTCTTACATAAGAGTATAAAACACAATGAATTTCGTATTTTGTCCACCATATATAAGGACTAGTAATGTATTGTATTAAGGACACTCATAGAAATATAATTGTATGATTTTTCTTAAACTACTTTGTTTTTTCAATAAATATATATATATATATATATATATATATATATATATATATATATATAAACACTCTCCAACTTGCATCTTTTAATTTATAACACTGTCATGTTTTGGTGAACAGGTGTCATGTTTTGGTGAATAAGTTTCATATGATAGAGTGCAAAATGACATACATGTCTTCTTGGATTTATTTGGTTGTGGTGTATTTGATTGAATATGTCATGTTAACTATGTTACTTTGTTAATTAATGATTGATGTGTTGATGTTTTATTAGATGATAAATATGGTAGCTTACCCTTCTTGTTTGTGTTTGAATGTTGTGATCATATAACTCGTGTTGTTATATGGAAGCATATGTTAATACAAATGTTCCAGTTGATGATTAGATCAACAAGAAGTTGGGAAGAAACTGAGAAATATTTCTTTTGTTTTACCTTAAAACATTTACAATTAATTTGATTTTAGAAGTTTGTAATAAATATTCTTTTATTTGGATTTTAATAAACTATTGTTTACCTCTCCAATTTAAGATTTATAATAATGTTTTATTTTAGTTTTTCTCTTAAAAAGAAAAGTATTTTTTTCACTGGTGAGATTCTAGAATGAAATGTTACATTAATATTAATAATAATAATAATAATAATAATAATAATAATATATTACAAAACCTTTCCAACTAATTAAACATGTAATGTAGTAAGAATCTCAGTGCTAAGTTAGTCTTGTTTACCTATCTATATATTTATGAACATCATACAATATTTAAATATTCATAACAACTTTTTATTTCTAAGTACAATCAAAATTTTTTATAGGAATAAAATGATTTATTTTGAACAATTTAAAAACAATTATAACAATTTGAATTAAGTCTAATTTTAAGAAATCAAGTATGACAAATCTGAATTTTTTTTAACTCTTACCAATTTTAGAGTTTAATAAATAATATACTATTTGAAAAAGCCTACCTTTCACTCTAGCATAGATGATCTACATCCATGATCTAATATATAAGGAAGTACATTTTGTTCTTCATCCTAAAGTGCACAATATCTTTTATAATATAAGTTATTTTCTAATAGTCATTAAACAACCACCAACTTAAACCGTCTCCAACTTTATATGATTTTTCCTAGTTTCCAAATCCCATGATAAATGTTTTTTTCTTTTTATCTATCTATGTTTTTCTCTAAGTGCATTGACAACCATTGCCATGGTTAATATGAGAAAGTGCATATCTTAGTTTCTTTCTCACTAAAAATCATAGACTATCTTTAATAATTATATATTCAATTTTAATAATTCTTTAAATATGTGAAAGATGTTCATCTTCTGTTTAGAGATCAAAAGGTAAATACTCAGAGTTGTAAAGTTACTGTTACTTTAAAGTACAGATCAATTTGCAATATTTTAACTTTCTAAGATAAACCTAAACCCTAATCACATTGATTAACATGAAAACACACTATGACAAACTTATAGAATATGAAATATAAAATATAAAATATTAAATATTAATTATAAACTATAAACTATAAAATATAAAATAAATAATAAATAATAAAAAATAAAAAATGAAAAATATAAAATATAAAAAATTATATTACATATGTTTTATTTTTAATTTGAAAATTATTTTAAATGAAAAAAAATCCTAATCTAAAATTATTATTGCAGTTAAAAGGCAGAATTACACACTAGGGACTAAGAAAAGTTACAAATAAAAAATATCTAATTTAGTAACATAACAATGATATCATTCATTCCCGTAATCAAAATGGGTAACATTATATATTATCTACTTTCATAATCAAAATAATTTCTTTTAGTTAATAACATTGTTAATTTGAAAATTATTTTAAATGAGAAAAAATAATTATCCTAATCTAAAATTATTATTGCAGTTAAAAGGCAGAAATTTAGGAACATAACAATAAAAATCAACAATATATTATATAGAATCTTAAAAAATTTAATTAACTAATTAATAAAATAAATTTTCTCAAAATTTAACTCCTCCCATACCCTAAACTTTCAATTACCATTCAAGACGTTCAATTACCATTCAAGACGCGTCAACGCAAGAAGTTTACACGTAACAAGCGGGATAGTTTTGGAAATTAGAAATACTGTGTGTGAGATGTAAGAGGGTACATACGCCGATCAAAATGCAATATAATTCCCTCTGCTGTTGGCATTAGCAAAGCACACACCACGCTTCAATGGCGTGGGAACCCTCTCTGCCAATGCTAAACCCATACCAAGATCGGCCGCAAAACATTGTCAACACTCTTCGAAACCCTCAGAATACTCGCAGACCCTTCCTTTCACCGGAACTGCAGAATGATAGTTCCTCAAAATTTAATCTTCCTGAGGGTTGGATTGTGGAGGAAAGACCCCGTCGCTCTAACCCTACGCATGTCGATAGGGTATACTTTCATCTTTTCATTCATCAATCATCGTTTATTCATGCATGCATGCATACTATATCACTCTCATGTACTCACAATGTTACTGCTAAGTTTTGCATTCACTCAAACCAGCACATCTAAATGGGAATGACACAGTTCAAGAAGGATTTTTTTTATTTTTTTTCTTACTGTAAATATCTCTTTTCATAGTCTTTGTTGCTGCAGATGATGCTATCGACTGAGACACTCATACTGTGTTTTGTGGTTGATACAAAATCATGTTGTTTTGGCACTTGCGCACTTTATGTGTGTATGAAAATACTTTTTGTGCTGTTATAAAAAGTTAATTCCTTGAGTGAATATTAAACTATGAAAAATTAGTTTTTGACCCTAGATTGGGGATTAATCTGAAGTTTTCTCCTTCATGGATTGCTATTTTGTGTAAATATTTTCTTTGATTAAAACATGGTGGTATATAGTTGATAAAAAGAATCATGAAGATCAAAGTGTGTGGCTAAGATCTTCAAGTTTATGTGTAAGAAGAAAAAAAAATCTATTTGGGGAGAAATCAATTCCTTAAATTTACACGGATTACTTAGAGTTCACAGAAAAAAGTTATGATTTTAAGTCTCTTATTGACCATGTATGACAATCAACACACTGAAGATAGGAAAACTATTTGTTTTCTTTTTCTTTTTCTTCTATGTGATTCTTTTCTTCACTAAGCACATTTGATGTTTAGAACTGAGTATCTTCCCATTTTTGCAAGGATTTGATTTTAATGTCTTTTTTCTTTTATTATTTTGTTTGATCAGTATTACTATGAGCCGCATACCAGAAAGCAGTTTCGTTCTTTGTCATCTGTTCATAAATATCTAGCAGGAGAACCTGTTACTCGTAGTAGAAAAGGGAAATCAAAGAAGGTAGACACTGTGAGTTCTAATTTTATATTTTATACACAGTTTTGTTGTAAATGTGCATTTAATCAGTTTGAAAATAAAATAGAGAAATTCCTGTAACACTGACAGTTTTCTCCTCTTATTAGCAAGGCTTTAGGAGTGATCCTGAACATCTTTTTGGTATCATACTTCAGTTTGGTTACCTCACACAAAAGTGTGATTGTGCCACTCTTTCTATCTTTTTGGGTTGATGCAGAAGTATGAGTGTCAAATGGGATGGATATTATACACAACTGTGATTCACAGTCTCATGTTAGCCTAATTAAAGTGTCTACATTCAAGGTTTATGGTTGGATATGAGGATTATGTAGAATCTTATTTAACAATTTTCTTTTTCAACTTACTTCCCTTTGATGTAATTGATCAATTTTTTACAATAATGATTTTCTGTGAAGGGTTAAACTATGCTATTCCTTTGAAGTTGAAGTTGTTGATATCTTTGTTGTATGGCTAAACTAGCCTCCCACTAATCTATGAAAAAATGCCTAGATCTCTACTTATGATTGCATATACATATTCCATCCCTTTCTTTTGAACCTCTAATTGCTCATGTGCTGCTTTTGGTTTGAAGCTACAACATACTTCTTTTGGCAATTTTATCTTCTATTAGGGTATGTCACCTGTCCCACTATCCCATACTGCTGCTTGCTCTTTCACTGTACCAAAATAAATGTAAAAACCTCTGGAGGTGTAAGGCTGTATGATCCAGATTAGTGGCTTAAAGTTCTCTTACTGTTTTTGATCTAAAGCTAATACTTTTCTGCAGAATCTTACTGAGTCTGGGGAAGCACAGCAATCTAGTTCCATGAGAGCTGTTTCTGATTTCTTATTAGAAGAAAATACAAGTTCAACAGCACCGAAGGTGAACAAAAAAACAAATAACAAGTTATCTTTTGCTTGACAATTAGTGGTGTGGTGGTTTCAACATACTAAATTTAATTCATGGTTCCTGTTCAGTCCCCAATGAAATCAGGAGCTCGAGAGAAAAGAGTTTGTGGTACAAGATATGACGGAGAATCCGTCTACAGACCCTCTTCATTAACAAAAGAAGAGTTGTCATGGAAATACTACATTCCCTCTAGGGTGAGTTTCAAAACTACAAAAACTTTGATAAAAAAAAAACATGTTTTTAATGCAGCTAACTGAATGTCTTGTGAAGAAATCTATGAAGCTGGATTATCAGAAGAAAACCATTTCAGAAAGCAGCGGAACCTCTGAGCATAACCTAACTTCATCACCACCAGCAAAAGTAAGCTGGGTTTTGTCTGGTCGCACAGGAAACTGGAACCCTAAGGTTGATGGTTCTCCTGTGCCACCATCAGAACAGGTCAACTGGTCCGAAGTATTCGAACAATCCATCCGCCGTAATGATGGACCCAACAACTGAAGTAAGTTTCAAATAAATCAATACTTTTTTTCATGTGTTCATATGATTTTCAAAGTTTTCAAAAGTACTGAAAGAGTTGTTTTTCACTCCACTTTGCAGGTTTCACAGCTGATATATTAATGAGAATATGCTGCCACCATAGAGTGCAGAGAATGAGATTATCTGTGGAACCTTATCTTAAACTATATTCAGACATTATTCTATTTCACCGATGTATTTTGTACCATGCTGTTGTTATTAGATTGCTTAGCAACTTCTAAACTGTGTAATGTTGTAGTTCTTGCATCTTTATTCTCTTCAATCTTGTACTGTATACTAACTGGTCTATCCTATATGCATGTGTTGGTATTAATAACTTTTTCAAGAATAGATCACATTTTTTTCTGCATTCCTTTGCTATCTAAACAAAAGTTTTTTCTTTTCCGCTTACACATGGATTAATTCAACATTTCTGAGATTATATTTTTGTAAATATGTAGATTTTTATAATTAAATTTACAGAAGTTTGTAGTTATTTTTTAGAATTAAGTGTGAGGAAATATTTTTAATCAGTACCACATTGCCTTTGCAACTTTTTTTCTCCGGTCGATCCAAAGAATCATTTTTCATAGTGTTTTCTTTAAGCTTTCCTTTGGCAATTTATTCTGATATCTGAAACTCATGAGATCAGAGTCACTTAAGAGATCAATGTTAACTGTTATTATAGAAATGTTAACTCGTATTATTTATTATTTTTTCATTATAAAAAACACTTCTCCATTATCATTTGTTATGTAGTGAGAGTTTCTGTAACACGTTGGAATAATAGAGAAAAAATACAAAAAATTTACTAAAGAAATTCCTAAAAGAATATATGTTATACGTTGCCACGGGTTTTTCATCAAAATCATTTACTGATAAAAAAAAATTCATCACCTTTATGAATAAATAAAGAAAATGTTTTATATATATTGAAGGAAAATAACAATGTATTGTTTATTAGAAGTCTTCTCTTCCATCATGTTGGACTCCTCTTCTTGTGCATTCTCTTCTGTCAATACTCCTTTCTCATCTCTCAAGGATACTATCTAGTTATTATATATATATTATCACTAATACAGTTAAGTTTTGTTGGTTATCTTAGATATTTAGAATCATATGCAGTGTATCATACTAAATATGATATATGATATTTTGTTATTTGTCTACTGTTAATTGTTAGCTTCAAAGATTTGTATTACGGATATGCATATATATATATATATATGTGTGTGTGTGT